CACCTTGGTGAAGGCAGAAAACTTGCAAGATGCAGAAAAACAAGCAGTCCTGTCCAGTTCCAGCTCTCAGATTTCACTAGATTAAAAATAATAGTAACGGAGGGAGGCGGGGCCACTGAATACCAGGTGATGCAGAGTGTCTCCAAACAGACGCAAACATCCGCAAGAATTCAGCTTGCAGCACTGGGGGTGGGGCCTTCTCAGGAAATGGGCTGGAGGCAAAGGGTTTGGGGCCAAAGCAGTGCGGGTGGCCAGAGAGTTCTACAACTAGACAAATGACTTAAACGTAAGAAAATGAGCGCGTTACGTTTGGAGGTGAAAACACGGAATGTTTTATAATCTTGGTAATAGATACATTCCTGAGCATGATACACACTGCAGGCACGTAAGGGCAAAAATTAATACCAACAACTAAGGGTTGTAAATGCACGGCAAATAGGAGATCACAAAGATAGACAGCAAACTGGGACAAACACCAATCAAAGGGCTAAGTTTAATACGTAAAATGCTCTTTGAAAACAGTAATCCCAAAGACTCAGTAGAAAAATAGATATAGAATATGAAATACACGTGGCTTTTAAAGAGACATGTTTGTAACAAATACAAAATTTCCAGTTTCAAAATCATTATTGTAGTTGGCGGGCAGGGTCAACCTGGAACAAATCCTACAAATGCTATAAGATCTGATCAGACCTCTGTTGTTGCTGTTGTTATGTGCCGTCGAGTCAGACCCCACTCATAGCGACCCCTCCTTGGGTTTCCGAGGTGGTATGACTACAGAAGTAGATCGCCCAACCTTTCTTCCGAGGAGACGCTGATGGGTTTGAACTGCCAGCCTTCTGGTTAGCAGTCAAGTGCCTTAGGCACCGCGCCACCAGAGCTCCTGATTACACCTCTAGAACTCCAAATAAAACCAAAAACACCCAAACCCACTGCCATGGAGTTGATTCCAACTCAGACAGACTCCCACTGGATTTCTGAGGCAATAAATCTTTACGGAAGTAGACTGCCTGGTCTTCCTTCCACAGAGTGGCTGGTGGGTTTAAACCACCAACCTCTGGTTAGCAGTCAAATGTCTTAGGCACTACGCTACCAGAGCCCCTTAATGCAAATAAAGCAACAATGAAATACTAATTTATAGCTGCAAGATGGAGTTTCAGCAATGGTGGGTGACACTAACCCCTCCCATGTTAGTGGAGGCTTAACTTGGTCCAAAGGGGCCCTGGTGGTTCAGTGGTTATTAAAGTGCTCAGTTGCTAACCAAAAAATCGGCCTTGAACCCACTAGCTGCTCTGGTGGAGAAAGATGAGGCAGTCTGCTTCCCTAAAGGTTTACAGCCCTGGAAACCCTGTGGGGCAGTTATACTCTGTCCTACATGGTCACTATGAGATGGAATCAACTGATGGCTGTGGGTTTGGTTTGGCTTAACTTGGTCCAATCTATTTAGAGATCACTGACCCATTTAGAGATCCATAGAAAATAGAAACGCATATGGGTTTGACCTAGCAATTCTGCACTGATGAATTTAGCCTCCCGGAATTTTCCTACCTGGGTACAAAGACGCGTACAAGGATACTCAACCTAGCCTTGCTTGGTGCTATAAAAAGGAGAAAATAACCTAATTTCTACCAACAGGAAAACAATAACTTACAGTACTAATGACTGAATAGTATGTAATAGTATGGGGCACGCGTCAACATAAAGAAAGTACAAATCGTCAACTGGATCAATAGCAACATCATAATAAATGGAGAAAAGACTGAAGTTGTCTGGGATCTCATTTTACTTGGATCCAGAATCAATGCCTATGGAAGCAGCAGTCAAGAAATCAGACGACGTATTGCACTGGGTAAATATGCAAAAGATCTCTTTGAAATGTTAAAGAAAAAAGGTGTCACTTTGAAGACTCAGGTGTGCCTGACCAAGCCATGGTCTTTTCAATTGCCTCATCTTCACGCGAGAGGTGAGCAGTGACTAAGGAAGACCGAAGAACTACTGATGGCTTTCAATTGTGCTGGCAAAGAATGCCCCTTGGAAGTGAGAATGGCCAGACCTCATCTCTTGTACTCTGGACATGCTGTCAGGAGGGGCCAGTCCCTGGAGAAGGACAGCATGCACGTTCAAGTGCAGGGTCAAGGGAAAAGCGGAAGTCCCTCAAGGAGCTGGATGACACAGCAGCTGCGGTGGCGGGCTGAAGCATGGGACCGATTCTGAGGACGGCACAGGAACGAGCGCTTCGTTCTGCTGCACACAGCGCACTGGGGGCCAGGCCCACTCAACAGCCCCTAACGGCGACAGTCAATAAAATACTGTGCCATCGTGAAAATGAATGAGCGGGTTTCTAAGTTCAAACATATTAGAGCACTTTCCAAGTGACGTTAAGTAAAAAAAAAAAAAAAAAATCAGTAGCCACTAGCAAAATGACTGACACTGAAGAAACTGGATTATCTTGACCCTAGGAGAGGAAACATGGCCTTAGACGGTGGGGAGGGGGAGGGAAAAGACATTGAATTTTCACCAAATGAAACCTTTAACACCCTGAATTTTTAAATGTGTATCTGAAGAAACATTTTGTTCAACCTCTAAGTAAGCAGGTACTTTGAACTTACACTGAGGACATAAGGGGAGTCCCAGCTCTCAGGGAACTTACATTGTGATGGGTTCAAAAGGCAGCCACAAGTTCTGAGGCAAGTCCAGCATCAGGGTCAGTGGGAGCAGAGGGGGTAAGGGGTTGACAGAGAGGAGAACACAGGAAAAATAGTGCAGCAAGTGACCCAGGAAAGTCAGATGTGTTGAGAACTGTTAGCCACGAAGGGGTGGGGTGGCAGGCATCAGCACAAAGTGGAGGCATTTTGGTCACAAACACTGGCTTGTGCAAAGGCCCTGTGGTGAGCTGGTGTTCTTGGGGCTGGGTGGAGTCAATTTCGCCTCAGAGTTACCCCATGTGTTACAGACTAGAACTACCTCAGGATTTCCCAACTGCAGTCTTCACTGGAGCAGACTGCCAGGTCTTTCCCCCATGAACACTGGGTGGGTTTGAACCACTTACATTTTGGTTAGCAGCAGAGCTTAACCTTACATGACAGATAGGACCACACGTGTTCTCTGCTCTAGTGAGTCCACAGCAACATTTCACGTTGAGATTCGCTTCTAAGTGGTCTGTGTCATCAGACGTGACTCTGGACTTGTTACCTGGGAAGGGCAGAGAGGCCAGCAGCTTCAATGCCCTCCCAGGCCTGGGTACTCTGGCGGCAGCTGTACTCACCGGCGCTTGCCTGTTAGAGGTGGTGGGATAGGACTCCATGGGTCGAAGGGCTGGATTAGCCCAGAGAGGGCTGGAACCGAGGCCGTGGGGACGACGGTGGAAGGTTATCCCCTAGGTCGGTCCAGGTCCCTGGGAGTGACAGTAACAGCGGCAGCGCAGTAGCACCTTCCGCTCCCTACGTGCCTGGCGGGCAGTTCCAAGCGCTTGAAACACCAATTCCCTTGTCCCTAGTTGCGAGCAACAAAAAGCCCTGAGAACAGAAGTTTGGCGCAACCTTATCCGTCGACCGACTGACCCCGCTGCCAGCGCTGAAGACAAGCGAGCGATTCGATTGCGCGGCGCCGCCCATCTCCGGGAGCAGGGTCTCTAAGGTGGGGTTGGAAGCGCGGAAACACTACCGAAGCCTCATCGAAGCGGACGACATCGGCCCCCTTCGTAGTTGGGGAAGTCGAGGCCCTCAAGGGCAGGTGCGACCTGGAAGGGTGAGGCCCGCTCCGTCTCCCACCCAAGCCACGGCCCGCGCCGCGGGCCCCCGGGTGGGTCCCCAGGAGGATCCGCGCCCGCTATGCACGCCACTTCCGTCCGCTCGCGCGACGCCACTTCCGCTTCGGCCGCGGCTTCTGCAGGTGAAGACTCTCCCGGGAGACCGCGCCCCTTCGTCAGGTCCTTAGCTACAGGCTAAAACTCCGCCCTCTTTTAAAGGGTCCGCAAGTTTTGAGCGGCTCTGCCGGAGGCAGCTCCCAGTCTTGACAGCACGACCCCGGGGGTCTCACTCTACTCTCTGTGCAGTGTGCAGCGGTCAGCAAACTGGAGGAGCCGTCTACCCCGGAGGTTCTCTACAACGCTCCAGGAGCTGGAGATTAGCCCGGCCCTGCCCTTCAGGGCGTCCCCGGGAAAGCCACAGCTTAAAGGCCCCGTGGACGGAAGGGCGAGCCTGGTGTCTCGTGGGAGCGGGTGAGGCATGGGTCTTAGGCCAGAGAGCGTCCGGGACCCCAGCCCTGGTGTCGGCTCCCTTTTCTTGTCGACACCCCCCCTGCGGACTCGCCGACCTCCACTGCCCCGAGCTTCCTATATACAAAGAAGCGGCCCGGCTCCGTTTTTAAGTCCCACGAGCTCGGCTCTAGGGTGGGCTTCGCTGCCTCTCCATTAGGGGCCCAGAGGACTAGCGAAAAGCGGGCCTGGACCAGAAAGAGCGTCCTCTGTAAGGTGAGCACTGCAAGGCCCAACAGATATACTGCAGCTCCCCAACATAAGGTTGCCTTGGAGATGGAGCGCGCTGAGTCCCCGCGCTGATGACGAAGGCAGGCAGGCGGTCCTGGGTATGCGGCCCCTTCCCCTCCACCCTAACCCTTGCAATTAGCAGCTTGAACCCATCCCCCACCCCGTTCCCGGATAAAGCTACAGTACTTTTTAAGCCCCGGGAGAGGGGGCCTTGGGGAACGAAGCCCTGGGAACTCTGGGAGTTGAAGGGAAAGGCGCACTCGGGCTATGAAAGCGAGAAGAGCTCGAAAATTTTAAAGCTTTTAATTTTTCACGTTCTCCCCGCTCCTCCTTTTGCTTCCAAAAGTAGAGGAGAGGGCAGTTCCGTCGCCTGTACATCGTCCGCGGCCCCTGGGGCGAGGCAGGGCGGGCCCGGCGCCGCACGGGCGGCCGACTGGCCGGGGTTCTCATGCAGCCCCGGCGGGGCGAGATCCTTATTGCTGAGGTCCAGGCCGGTTCGGGCGCTGCCGCCGGGCTAGGCCCGCTGGCTAGACAGCTCCTGGGAGATGAAGCGGCGCAGGCGCTCCAGGTACTGGCTGTAGAGTTCGATGTCGTTGTGGCCGGCGCCCTCCACCCACAGGGGCTCTACGGCTTTTGGGCAGCGCTCGTAGAGTGCCAGTCCGTGCGAGAAGTCGATTACCTCGTCCTCCGTGCCGTGGATGATGAGCACGGGCGACGTGATCTTGGACACCTTCTCGATGCTGCAGGGCAGGGGCGGGTCAGGCCTCTGCGCCCGGGTCCCCTAAAGCCCCGCCCCCTCTCCCTGTGGCTCCTCCCCCAGTCCGTACAGCCCTGTGGCCCCGCCCTACAGCCCCGCCCCCGCTCACTTGGGGAAGGCGTCGAAGCAGTAGGTCTTCTTGGTGTCGGGGAAGGCGACGCGCATGCCCGAGGTGAGCGGGGAGTGCAGCACGACGGCGGCGCACTCGTAGCGTGAGGCCAGGTCCACGGTGGGCACCGTGCCGATGCTCTGCCCATACAGGATGATGCTGTCCGGGCTAATGCCGTACCTGGCGCCGGGGGCGGGGCGGCGTCAGCTCGGCCACCGGACCACGTGCGCACCCCTCCCTCCCGGAGAAACGCTCTTCCCAGTCCGTGCTCCTCGGGGGTCTGGGGTCTCGAAGACCATCCCCTGCCCCCCAGCACAGGAGGCCCTGCTCTGTGCGGGTGAAGATGGAAGAGTGATGCTGTGCCCCTGGGGCAGGTGCAGCCCTGGTGTCCTCTTCGCCCCTAGCCTTCACACATGGTGAGATCAAGGCCGACACTGGCCCCTCCCAGGTCTTAAATTGGCGACCGGTCTCCCACCCCCAGATTAGAACGCCCTTCTGGTCACAACTGGGGGTTACAACACACTTTCTGGGCTCTTGTACCCCTGCCCCTTAGCCACGGGGATAGAGACAGATGTCTTCTCACACCCGGCCCAGCTCTGGGCATCCTGAAGCACGCAGGTGAACAGTTACCCGGGCTGCAGGGCTGGATCCCATCTCCTCTCTGAGCATCTGCCCCACATGGATAGGCTCTGCCACTCCCATGCCTGAGGGTTCCATGTGTATCACCCAGCCAGGGCTTGATCCAGCTCTGGGCCACTGGCTGTATGGGGCCCCCAGATGGACAGGAGTCAGGGCTGGTCAGGGCCTCACCTGGGCAGCCTGATTCCACCTCAGCACCTGTTTTCTCCTCCTGCCCACAGCCAGCGCCTTGCAAACCCCACATTCTTGCCACACACTCTGGCTGCCCTTGGCCTGCTCCCCCCACCCCCACTTCTGCTGAGCTGACTGCCCAGCCCCAGGCAGGGAGCCTCAAGTCACATCTCCACATGGACAAAATGGCTGCCCCCACCCCACCCAGTCACACCCTGCCTCTGCCTGCCAGACCTCAACTCGGGCTGACAATGCCTTTCTGAAGGCCAGAGGTGATGGTCTGAGGTCAAGGTTCCTGCCCGCTGGGGGGCAACAGTGAGCCAGTGTCACCTACTTTGGGGATGGGAGGAGGGACTGGAGGAGGCCAAGGGCGGGAGCACAGACAGCGCAAAGGCAGGGCTGGTGGTGGATCCACACTACTGGGAAGCCCCGGGACGAGTCCCCGAAGGGTACATCGCCTCAGCAACCAGGCCGCCACCTCCCTGGGGCCAGCTCTGAGGTGCTAGTGCTGCGCCTGGTCCCCGCTAGAGCAGGTCCCACTGGTTGGGGGAGCAAAGCTTTCAGTGCCCTGGGGTCTGAGTGGCCCCCATCCTGGGGCAGTGCTGGACATGGCTGGCCCACAGCTGGTTGTGAGAATGTGTGCATCTGTGTGTATGTGGGGGGGGCTTACAGCATGTGTGTCACCAACATGGTGGGGGCTGCAGCAGGAGAAGGGACTGGGGCAGGCCAAGGTGGCGGTGCTGTGGGAGTCAGCGTGTGGCCGTGAACACAGACAAAGCTGGAGGGGTCACGGTAATCCCCTGCCACTGCCATCACGTCCTGTGCTGGTATGAGCTCCCAGGAGTCCGCTGCACCCCACAGCCCTAAACATGGCCCAGGCTGGCCCCACCCTGCACCTCTGGGCACCCAGACATTCTTTCCCACCACTCTCACCTCAGCCCGTCCAGGGAGGAGCTGGGAATGTCTGCCCCTCCCCAGCAAGCTGGGGGCTTCCAGGTAAGGAGCCACACCCTATGTCCTATGCCCAGGGAGTCTGAGGTCTGCCTGGCCCCTGGCTCGGCCGACCTGGTCTCCATGGACACTGAGCATACCTGTCACCACGTGAGGGGACAAGAGTTAGGCCCGCCTTTGTGCTCCCTCTCTGGCAGGCACATTCCTGCCCCACCTAGGTATCCCCAGATTTGGGCACCACTCTAAGGACGCACTCTAGGTTAAGCCCTCCTCGAGAAGTGGGGATGAGGTTACAGCCGGCCTGGATGGCCCCCACCCTGGGTTCGGGGTCTCTGCTGGGGGTGGTGCCTTGCCCCGTACAGCCCCACCTGGTACGCAGGGCCTGCCAGGCGGCGTCAATGTCGGCATAGAGGTTCTTCTCCGAGGACCGGCCTGAGCTGGCGCCATAGCCGGAGTAGTCATAGGAGAAGATGTTGCAGTTGATGCGGGTGCCCAGGCCGACGTAGAAGCTGCTCATCTGGCCCAGGTCCACCGCATTACCATGGGAGAAGAGGACCGTGTACCTGGGGCCAGGACACGACAGTCCGTCCCAGAAGCACAAACCGCCTCTCTCCCCTCCCAAGGTCACCTGGGGAGCAAGGGGGCAGGGGGCCAGCCCAGCCCCATCTCTGTGGCTTGTTCCCCTGGCAGGACCATAAACTGCCTGTGGCACAAGGGCCCTGCTTCCTCCCGCTGCATGGGCTTGGGCAGAATACGGCCAACTGAGCCTCAAGCTCAGACATCCAGGTGGTAAAGGACGAGAGGGATCACTGGGGGTGGGGGATCACGTTCTCAGCACAGAACGGACTCACAGTGACTTCAGTGATTGTCATCTCTGTTCCCCTGGAGGGGTGAGGACAGGCTCTCAGGAGGGGGCTGCACTGCCCAGTGCTCCCTCAGGGCCCCCCATCCCACACCCTGGCTCACCTGGCACTGGGCACGCAGCGCACATACATGCAGGTGACTCGGCTGCCCCGGGCGCTCTTGGTCAGGAAGACCTCGATGGTGTCGAGCTCCCGCTGGCTGTACTGGAAGTCAGCCCGCTCAGTGAGGTGCAGCTTCCAGCGTCCAGGGGCACCGGCCGAGGCCCGCAAGGTGCCTGAGGGAGCAGCACCAGCCTCGGGCTCGGGCACCAGCGAGTAGGTGGGCTCCGGAGGCAGGAAGGCGAGCTTGGCAGCGATGCGGCCAGGGCAGGGTGGGCAGCAGAAGAGGCAGCAGAGTTCGCTCACTGACAGGCCGTTCATGGCGGGCGCCGGGCCCCTGCCGACGATGCCGGCCGACCTCGTGCGGCAGGGAGGGTGTAGGGGTGCTCTGAGCTGCCGGCAGGGTGGGCAGTGTCCCCCTAGCCTCCGCCCCAGACGAGAGCCCCGTTAGGAAGACAAAGCCCGGTGCCATCGCGGTCTAAGCTGAGCCCTGGGGAGTCTTGTGGCCGTGTGCCGCTGTGCCGTGCAGTGGGAGACCCTATGGGTGAGAGCAAGCTGCAGCTCAATGGCTACACAGAGGCGTCCCCACACCCAGCCGCCCCCCTCCCACCCAGGCAGCTGCACACCTCGTCACAGGGAGCTGGGTTGCTGACCACTGCCCCTTAGGCCAGCACCCTTCCTTGGCTGGTGTGCTAAATTTAGTGTCCCCCAAAATTCAAGTCCTCCACCTGCAGCCCAGAGGATGTGAAGACACAGGGTCTTCGCAGATATGCTCAGGTATGGTCACACCAGCACACTCATACTGCATTATCAACAACAGCAAACAGTAATTTACTGTGGATATGCAGGTACACAGGTATGGACAAGCAAACAGGAATACACCCATGACCGGACACAGTCTGTCAGATGACAGTCCTACGTTTGTATGTGCCACATACATCTGTATATACAGACATACATACGTGTGTGTGTGTGTGTGTGCGCGCGCACGTGTGTATAAAGATGAAGTCACACTGGACCACAGTGGGTCCTAACCCCATACAAAAAGTGTCCTTCTGAGAAGCAGCACGGACACAGACACAGGGAACATGGCCACGTGAAGACAGACACAAAGATCGGAGCGATGGAGCCAGAAGCCAAGGAGTGACGACACCGCCAAGGAGCTGGGAGAGACCAGGCAGCCTCCTTCCCCAGAGCCTTCCGGGCAGCACGGCCCTGCTGAGGCCCTGAATCCAGACTTCGCCCTCTAGGAGTACCTGGGGGTGCAATGGTGAACGTGCTCGGCTCCCCACCAAAAAGGTGAAGGATCGAGTGCACCTGGAAGTGTCTCGGAAAGAAGAACTGGAGATCTGCTTCCAGAAGCCCGACCGTGGAGAACCTATGGACACAGTTCTGACCCACACGGGGCTGAGAGTCAGTGGCAGCTGTGTGTCCTCACCAAGCCTCCAGGTCGTGAGAGGACCGGTGTGGGTTGCTTTAAGCCACCCAGGCTGCAGGCGCTTGTTCTGGCAGCCCCAGCACGCTCAGACACTGGTGACCCCTAATCTTGCCCTCAAAGCCCCTCCTCAGCCCCACCCTGAGGGGCAGGGTGCGGCAAGCACACCCCAGCCTCCTGCCACAGCCGCACAGCCTGTTCCAGGCCCAGGGACCTCCTCTGCCCTGCCTTGCCTCTGGCAGTGCCGGCCCAGACTCACCCCCACCCCTACTTTGGGGCAGCCCTTCCAGGTAACAGAGAGGCAGCTGAGGAAGGGACAGACTGCTGGCTAAAAGGACCTGAGGACAAGACAGGCCAGCCCCAGAGCCCAGCTGCTGCAGGGGTGCAAGGGGCTGGCGGGTGGGCACTGGGCCCTGCAGATTTCAGGGGCTGGGACAGGGGTCTGGGCAGAGGAAATACAGCAGACAAAAATCTCCAACAAAGGCAGGATATGTCCTGGGGCTCAGCAGCCTCTCTGTGCTTGAAAGTGGCTCTTCCCGTGCAGCGCCAAGGCAGGGGCCAGCCTGCACAGGAGTCAGAGGCTGAGGGCAAGGGGAACCTGGGTCCCCCGATCCACATCCACCCCCAACGTCAAGACGTGACCTGGTTTGGAAATAGGGTCTCTGCAGATGTGAACAGTGAAGGGGAGGCTACGCTGGGTTAGTCGTTAGGTGCTGTCAACCCCCAGTGATCCTGTGTGACACAGAACTGCCCCCAGAGCTGTGATCACTATGGAAGCAGACTGCCACGCCCTTCTCCCATGGAGCTGCTGGATGGGACTCAACCGCCAACCTTTTGGTTAGTGGCCAGGCACCCCAACCACTGTGCCACCAGGGCTTGTTTACCGCACTGAGGGGGGCACTAAATCCAACGACAAGTGTGCATATAAGGAAGCCGTGGACGGACAGAGATGCAGGCTATGTGAAGACACAGGCAGAGACTCGAGTCATGCCGCCACAAGCCAAGGAATGTCAGCAGCCGCCAGAAGCTGGGAGACCTGGGGGGATCCTGCCCTTGAGCCTCCAGAGGGAGGCGGGACCTCGGGGCTCCACAAACAATATGATAAACTTCTCGAGCCCCCAGCTTCTTGGCCATTTGTTCAGCCTGCCCCAGCACAGCACCTCCTCCAGCAGAGACGCGCGGGGGCTTTGGGACCTTGGGCACGTCATCTGACCCCTCCAGCCTCAGTTTCCTCATCTGTAAACGAAGACACTGCTCACTTCCCAGGGTTGCTTGGGCGGTAAACAAGGTAATGGGGACCAGGGGTCTGGCCAGAGAATAGCATCACTCAATACCACACTAACAGCTAAGGCCCAAGAAAGAGCCTTGGGGGCGCAATGGATAGGCACTTAGCTGCTGAACAAAAGGGGGGCAGTTTAAACGGGCCCAGTGCTCAGGGGAGAAAGGCCTGGCAATCTGCTCCCGTGAAGATGGCAGCCTAGCCCTAGCAGTCAGAACTGGCTCGAGCGCACCCGTGACGACGACGACAAAGGGCCAATGCAACTCTCCAACCGTGTGCAGAGCAGCTGACAGCCATGAGAAAGGCGAAGGTCTGAGAAAAGTCTATCCACTTGCTAAATCATCTTTACTTTTTCCTTGCGGAGCAGAACGAGGTAAGGAGACGCATGTGCCGCTCCGTGGGAGCAAACACGGCAGTGCATTTGGCTTTTGGGCCACAATGTTCAACAGCCTCTGGAGAACTGCACACTCGGAGGCCCAGGGAGCCGCACAGGTTGTGCCTGCCGTCCCGGCCTCCACCTCCTCAGAGGACAGGAACCCGCCGCCAAGAGGGCTGGAGAGGGCCCCATGGCAGCAGTCACTAGGCTCTCCACAGGGCACGGGGAGACAGCAAGCAGAACTGGGGGAGGGGACCTTCAGGGAGTCCCCAAGCCCCCAAACAGGATGCACGTTTTGCGAGACAGCATCTTTCAGAGGGGATGTAGTCTATTGAAAAAAGACCAGTCAAACCCACTGTCATGGAGGCAGTCCTGCCCCGGTAATGACCTACAGGACAGAACAGAATGACCCTGGGTTTCCAAGGCTGAAATCTGAACAGAAGCAGACTGCCACATTTTTCTCCTGAGGAACGGCTGGTGGGTTTGAACCACCAGCTTTTTGGTTAGCAGCTGAGTACCTAACCACTGAGTCACCAAGGCTCCGTGTAGTCTATAGCAGTGGTTTTTGCCTGAAGCAATTCTGCTCCCAGGGGACAGAAGGCAATGTCTGGGGACAGTCTTGTTGTCACGACTGGTGGCGAGGTGCTATGCCATCCAGTGTGTAGAGCCCATGGGTGCTGCTCAACACTCTACGGTGCACAGGGAGGTCCTCATGTGAGCAGGACTGGCACCAGGAGACCGTGGGCTACAGCCTTCAATGTATATTCAAAGAGGTCTGAACCTCAAAGGAGAAGCTGAAGTATGCAGGGTGCTTGGGGGGGAAGCCTGGAGTTTGGGGTGGCACCATCAGAGGCTGGCTTGAGAGAGAAGCCTGACTGAGCCCCGGGGGGCAAGTAGGGGGTCTCCGGCAACCCCAAGAATGAAGGGGCATCCCAGGATGGATAAGACCCCATCAACTGAGCAAGAACACATGATTTTCCTTGCCACCTCCGTGTACCCCTCAGACCCCATCCATCACCAAGGCCTGCTGGCTTTACCTTCAAACTCCATCCCCACCACCCTCTGGGCCATCTACCCTAGTAGCCGAAGGATCTTTGTACAACTATGGTCTGATCATGCCCTCCCTTTTGGGGTGGCCACAGAGCCTGGCACTAATCTGAGGCCAAACCCCTGGCCACAGCCTGCAGCCCTCAGCCACCTTGCCCCCCCCC